CTGGCGTTGAGGTAGAGGTGGCGATTTGCCCGTCTTTGCGACAGACGTGTGTTTTTTCCCTCGCCTGCCTACTTCCAGGGAGGGCTGGGGCAGCTCCCCTGCCTGCCGCACGGCCGGGCTGCAGTCGCGCCTCACGCTCCTTCCACGTGTTTAAGCGCGCAGAGGCGTCGCATGTGAGCGGGGCGTGTGACATGCGTGTGGAGAGCAGGCAACGCGTGTGCAGGCAGCGCTGGGTACATTCGGTGCGCGGCTCGCCACGGCGGGCGTCCGAGGATGTGCTAGCGGGACGTGTGCCGTTTTCGGCCATCAGTCGTGTCCGTGGGCCTGCGATTTCTGCTCGTAGAGAGGGGCGTGTGCTCAAAGTTGAACTGTAAGCGGGTTTGGCGACGGACGTGTTTAGTTTTGGTGTTTTGTTTGTTGGGTTTTTTTTGGTGGGGTGCTTGCACTTTGTGTGCGTGCGAGCGTGAGGCAGGCGCGTTTTCGCTTGTTCCCTTTCTACCGCTGTCCAGAAAGCAAGCGGCGAGAGGAAAAAAGCCCTCGCCCTACCGCCCATCCTTCGCGGCGCGGCGGTCTGTGAACCCAGCAGTTTACCCTCCCTCCCCGGCGCTGCCGCCCGGGGCTGTGCTGCGCGCCTGCCTGTGCAGAAGCTCAGCGCAGAGCGGAGGGGGGAGGCGGCCGCTGTTCCTGGAAGAGCCCGGCCTGGGGAGTTGGTCACATTCTTGGCTGGGATTCAATGACTGAGGCAGACACCAACAAACAGAGCGGGGGGAGGAGGAGGAGGAGTGAGGGAGGCTGAGCCAGCCTGCATTAGCTCAGCTCTCAGGCACTCTCAGTCTCTGCTGGAAAGAGGAGCTGGGAGGATGTGCGCTCTGTTACCGCGGCTCCCCACGGCACGCCGAGAAGACCGAGAGAAATAAGGGAAGAAAGGCGAACCGAGAGACGAGGAGTCCTCCCAGATCAAGCTGAGGGACCACGAGGTTGAAGGGAGCCTGCTTATTGCCCGTCCGAAGCCCCCGCGCCGTTTTGGAAGTGCCAGAGATTTGGGCCTTTTCTTCTGCGTTGTTCCCTTCCACAGACCAAGCTTTCTTCCTCCTCCTGCTTTTTACTTTCCTCCCCCGCGCCTTCCTTTCGGTGGATATGGACAGAAGGGTGATTACTGCAGAGAAGCAGCAGCCGCCAGAACATATTTGAGCCCCTGGTGCTCGGAGCGTGGCACAGACTTTTTGTATTTCTGTGGGTGGCGTGTGTGTGTGTGAGTGAGTGAGTGTGTGTGTGTGGTGGAGGTGTGGGAGGCGGGATTGGTTTGCCTGGGGGGTTGGCTGAGGGGGTGAGTGCTCGGATGAAGACCTCTTTTTGCCGTGACTCTCTGCTCCATCGGGGCAGCTTGGAGACTTGGAGGTTTTGAAATTGTAACGAACCACCAGAAAAGACAGAAGAGAGAGACACGCATACAAAAGGATTTATTTCCTATTCGTTAGTGGATTGTTAAACCTGAGTGGGAAGGAAAAAAAAAAACCAACAAGGGTGGGTTGTTCTATTTTGTCCATAATTTTTTTCTTAAAAAAAATCCCTTAAGTGGATTTGTACCAGAGTGGAAGATAACTGGGGATTTTTGTTGTTTGTTTTGGGAATAGAAACTAAAAAATGGAGACTGTAAGTAGAAGCAGCTTCCAGCCTCATCCAGGACTGCAGAAGACCTTGGAACAGTTTCATCTGAGCTCTATGAGCTCCCTGGGTGGCCCTGCTGCTTTCTCAGCACGATGGGCACAGGAGATGTACAAGAAAGACAATGGCAAAGACCCAGCAGAACCTGTACTGCATCTGCCCCCTATCCAGCCTCCGCCGGTAATGCCTGGTCCCTTCTTCATGCCCTCGGACAGATCCACAGAGAGGTGCGAGACCATCCTGGAAGGGGAAACCATCTCCTGCTTCGTGGTGGGTGGAGAAAAGCGGCTTTGCTTGCCCCAGATCCTGAACTCGGTGCTCAGGGACTTCTCCCTGCAGCAGATTAATTCGGTGTGTGATGAGCTACATATTTACTGCTCCAGGTGCACTGCTGACCAGCTGGAAATCCTCAAAGTCATGGGCATCCTGCCCTTTTCTGCTCCTTCCTGCGGGCTCATCACTAAAACTGATGCTGAGAGGCTTTGTAATGCCTTGCTTTATGGTGGCACCTATCCTCCCCACTGCAAGAAGGAATTCTCTAGCACAATTGAGCTGGAGCTTACAGAGAAGAGCTTCAAGGTGTATCATGAGTGCTTTGGGAAGTGTAAGGGACTCTTGGTGCCAGAGCTTTACAGTAACCCCAGCGCAGCCTGCATCCAGTGCTTGGACTGCAGGCTTATGTACCCACCTCACAAATTTGTGGTCCACTCTCACAAATCGCTGGAAAACAGGACTTGCCACTGGGGCTTTGACTCTGCAAACTGGAGATCCTATATCCTCCTCAGCCAGGATTACACTGGGAAAGAGGAGAAAGCTAGACTGGGCCAGCTCTTAGATGAAATGAAAGAAAAATTTGACTATAACAACAAATACAAGAGGAAAGCCCCCAGGGTAAGTGATGCCCTTAATTCTAAAGGGGGTGGGGGGAGAAGGAGAAAAAGGATTTTCTATAATTTCGGTAACATCTATTGACCTACTCAATTTGTTACCAGCTGCTTTTCCTTTGAGTCATTTAGCAGTCTAATCATGTTCTTAATTCTCACCACGTGTTAATGTAGACGAGCAGTGTTCGAGATGGCACCTTTTTTTCTCTGGTTGTGTTCTGAACACGGTATAGAATCATAGAATGGTTTGGGTTGGAAGGGACCTTAAAGATCGTCTAGTTCCACCCCCCACCCCCACCCCGCAAGGACGCATTCCACTAGAGCAGGTTGGAGTTTGTTTAAATTATATATGTGTGTTTGCATATCTTACTATACATGGAACCTGGTCTTTGAAACCCATCATGCTACCCCAGACTTTAGCGGGAAGTATGTGATTTTTGGGTCTTAAGAGCTTCAGTTAGGGCTCAAGGCAAGGCAGAAGCCAGAAAAAAGTAAGTTACTGATCGCTCCAGACGCAAATATATACAATTTGCTGATCAACTGCATGCCACCAGGGATGGAGGTGAGGGTGAAATTGTCTCAATGCTTGTATTGAAATAAAATGTGGCTGCTAAGAAAAAATCTTGACAGTAATGCAGGTTACTGGTGTTCAGATTAAGTGTGCGGAACATGAATGGAGATGCTTTACTGCTCTTAGAGTATCCCTGTGGAGTCTGAGTCTCCCCACCAGACAGGCTTTTGTATATTGGATTATGTGTACATTCAGTAAACGAATCTGTCTAGGGCCAGCTGCAGCAGCTTCTTAAGGTATGCCATGCCGTGCTGAGCCAGACAGCTAAAGCACATTTTTTTTTAGGTGTCCTTTGTTTTTCTTTCAGTCTGAGCTGCCTTTAGATCCCAGAATCCCTGGTGTGTGGGTGGGAGGCTGCCTTGGCATCTGGCACCAGTCCTGATCAATGGGCAGCAGTGCCACAAGGCCTTGAGGACTTGCTTACAGACACCAGGATGTCTGGCTAGCTGGCGATGGTGCAATTGGCTGTGGGATGAGCAATTCGCTTTCCGCTCCTTCCCCCCCCCCCCAATATAAGGTTAAAGGAAACTCTTGCCTATTGAGTTTTATGCTGCAGGTTTGTTGGTTGGATTCTGCCTCATCTGTCAGAGATTTCCGAACTTTTCTTTGGTTTTATGTATCTGGAGTGGAAGGGCAATGACACAAGCCTCAAAAAGAGAAGCAACGTTGAAAGCCCACTGAGAATGTTCAGTAAAATTCTTAATTACCTTACCAAATACCTGTTTAAGGGGGCAGACACACACTCAGACTTAAATAGGGCTTTTATTTATAAAAAACGCAGCAAAAATGCCCAAACAAAACCCGTTTTTTTTAAAATATCCTGCACAAACAATGCAGTAATTCCTACAGCTAGCCTAAGAGGCCTAGTTAACTCTTTTGATTGGCCTCTCCTTTTTTTGATTGAGGAGTAGAGTCTCACTCGTTCAAGTTCCAGTTTCTCTCCTGGTCTTATGTTTAGCCCCTGTTTCAATTCTTGTCCTCACCCCTCCTTTTCCTCTCGCTTGAGTGTCAGAAACGCTGTGACAAAGCTAGGCTGTAATGAGCCACATTATCTCCGTGGTTGGAGGTGGATGTGTTTTTAATGGCTTGTCTATTCTCCGTCAGTCATGTGCTAAGATGGAATGGTGGGATAGATGTATATGAATGTCTGTGAGAGGAGAATACGGCTCTGAAAGTGGCGGCATTTTTCGTGTTAGGAAATGAATTTTCTAGGGCATGCTTTGTTTGGGAAGCAAAATCGAGAAATCTCCACATTCTTGTGCAGAAAGGTACTGTGTCCCTAGCTTGGTCACTTCCAGAGTTTGATTAAAATGTATGTTAGTAGAGATGTGCTTTCCTTTTCATACGAGGCTTTTATGGCATTCTATTCAGTTGTACGATTTATCCAACACCCCAGGTGAGGTTGCAGGTGGAGAACAAGAAACAACTACTAAATCTTGGGTTTGCCTGACTTTTGGTGACCCGTTAATAGGTCCTAGTTCAGAACACGGCAAGCACTCTTCCCCTGCCCTCCAAAACCTGCATGCAACACAGCACTTCTTGCAGAGTGAACCCAGGATACCTAATAGTGGACTCCAGAAATTATGTAAGGAAATTGTGGCCATCTATTTCTCAGAAATTTTGCCAAAAATCCGCCATCATAAAATGTTAAGTCTCCTGCATAGGTTCATTTGGGAGGTGGCGAGGAGCTTGATGGGGAAGAGCAGAGTGGTGTGTGCTCAGATGATGGGCTAGAGAAAAAAGAACGCTTTATCATACATCCTGTGTAGACCTGGGCTTAAGTTTCAAGGCTTTTGAGCTGTTTTCAGGGCTCTCCTATTAATGTGGTGCAGTCTTGGGACCCTGACAGTGCTGGCAGAGTTTTTTGCGCTTATCCTTCCTTTTTCTGAAGTCTTTTTCCATTGGGCTTAGCCAACGGATATCATATGCTAAGGTCATTTGTGTTGTAGCAGTGTGTGCAGATAATTATGGTGAGATTTAATCAGGCTCTAAGACTGGTAGACTGTGGCCAGGGGCAAGTAACACTGGAGTAAAGTTTAGATGCCTAGTAAGGAAATGCAAGGATGGTCCCGTGTCTGTGTGTTTGTGTTAATTACTGTCAGTCTGTGTGGGGTTTGTGTGTCTGTTGGGCTCTGTGTATGTCTGTCTCTGTGGATGAAAGGGTGAAGCATATGTGTCTTTGTGGTGGTCTTCCTTTTTGATGTAGATCTCTGCATTGCTTTGTTCTATTTTATACAGAGGTGTTTGTGTGTGTTGTGTGCCGTAATCTGCTGTGTCAGATATTTGGTCTTCTGCTTTTAAGAGTGGGCTTGTTATCAGTTTCCCAATTTATTTATTTACGTGTGTGTGTATATACACATTGCTTTGTGTGTTGTGTTTTCCATGCGGCTCTGTTAGTATGTTGGTAGCATGGAATATATATGACCATTTTTATGGCTGTTTAAGAAGCGGTGAGTTTTTTGACCTTTTTGTATGTCTTCATGAGGTTTATGTGATGAGGTGTGTAGATTTCTGCCAGCACAGCTCTGCCTTTTAAGGGTCTGACTTAAATGGAGGAGCTGGGTTGGCACAAGCCCCTGTTGCAGATTCAGCGTACTGGCAAAACTGCCTTTTTTCCCTGTCTCCCCCCCCCCCCCCCCCCTCTTTTCTTTTTTGGGTTGTTTATCACTCATTCAA